TTGGCTAAAGCTTTGAGTAACCTGCTCTGGTGGGAGGTGTCCCTGCCCAGGGCAGGGGTTGGCACTGGATGATCTCTAAGCTTCATTCTAACCCCCAACACACTCTGATGCGATGACCCCCTTGGGACCCTGCGCTGCTCGGGGTGGGAGCAGAGGTTGGTCCCAGCCTGCTGCTCACCCGGGGCAGCTGCAGGAGTTGCCAGGGGTTGGATCCCTTGCGAGAGGGTGGGGGGTCACCCCCACTCCTGCCACAGCTCCGACCCCTCAGGACAGACCCCTAAAATTAAGCTCTATTGCAGCAGCTTCTCCCTTTCATGGGGAAAGGCTCCCAATCCCCTCCCTTCCTTCCTCCCCAGCTGCTCCCCCTTAACTTGCCCCTCCTCAGAGCCCAGGGCTCTGTGCACAGCCCCTGCCCATCTGCACCCCCAGCACTGCGAGAGCAGCTCGGGGAGCCAAGATCGGCTGATCCGCGGCACAAAGGGGAGCAAAGCGAGGGAGACTGCAGCCTCGGCAGCGTTCGGGTGTGTGCATCGCCCCCAGCCCTGCCCGGCCCCCAGCCTCACCTTTGCCTGCGCTCATGGTGCTGGGCAGGGCACTGCTCCTGCTCCCGCTCCGACTGCGCAGGATGGATGGAGCAACCACCTTGACGCCTGTCCAGCGCCGCCCGGACAGCCTTAACCCCCGTGCTGCTGGGCCAGGGCGAGCAGCCACGGGAGAACGGGCTGACCCCGGGCTGTCCTCGGACTACACTTGGGTTTACCCCTGGGCTTCCTCTGGGCTCCCCCCTGGGCGCCCCCTGGGCTCCCCCCTGGCTTCCCCTCTGGGCTCCCCTTGGGCTCCCCCCGGGTTTCCCCCTGGGCTCCCCCCGGACAGGATGAGGCAGCCCCACAGTCCTGCCCTGAGCACCTGGAGGGTACTGAGTAGAGCAGCAGCACTGCCCCTTCCCTGGGCACTACCCTGCCTGGCATCCCCCGGTGGGAGCCCTGGCAGGAGGTTCTCATGCTGCAGCAGGACCCAAAAAACACCCCCGGGGGTTGCAGCACCTGTAGTGCACAGGGGTCAGAGGTGTGGGGGTCACCCGTGGTGGAACATGGGCTGAAACACCTGATGGTTTATGGTGGTGCAAGTGGGAAATGAGCTGGGAATGGGAACAAAGCTCTTCTCTGTGGGGTACTGGAAGCCTCAGGGCTGAACCCCCAGACCCCTCCTATGGGTGTATCTCACCCTGTGGGTGGAGAGTGCTGGAAGCTCAGCTTGGAGCTTCTGTGCCAAAGGGGAAGCAGAGAGTGTGGCCAGGGTGCCACTGGTGAGGGTCCCCTGGCTCCTCTGCCAGCCCCGTGGGCAGTGGGATGGTGGTGGCTGATGCTCCAGGGCTGATGGATCACACCGTCCCCCTGGCAGCTCATCAGAACAACCCCAGGGAGGCTGGTGACTTCATCCTGTGTCCCAGGTCATTTCTCCTCCGGTGTCCAGCACAGCCTCTGTGGAATCTTTCACCAGTTTCCAGGAAAGCAAAAGTTAAACAAAAAATATACCACTTCTGGCCTAGGGAGAGGAGCCCTGAGGGACAGTGGCTGCTGGATGGAAAAGCCATGGTTAACCTTTCCCCATGTCCTGGTAGCCCCATCCCTCCCTGAAGATGCTCCAGGCTGGCAGCACTCACACCCCCAGGAACAGGAGCCTCCCACTGGTGTTGCTCTTCCCAGCCCTGGTTCCCCCGTGGTGGACCAGAGATGCTCTGCACCACCAGTCCCATGCCATGGGAGCCTGGCATCTGCCCCAGCTCCTGTTCCCAACAGGCTGGTTGGTGAGGTGGAGGTGGAGGTCCCATGCCATGGGCACCCCCACCATGCTCCCACCTCGCCCATCCCCGTGGCAGCCTGGCATCTCCCCCAGCTCCACAGCTCAGCTCTTCCTCGCTGAACTCAGCCACTTCCATGCCCATGGGAAGAGGTGTTGGAGAGAGACAGCCAGGCTCCAGCCTTGCCACCCAGCTTTCCCACAGACACTGCTTGGTCTCTTCCCTTTTGGCCCTGAGCAGAGCTCTCCTCCCCCTCTATTTTAATCCTCTTTTCTGGGAATTTATAGATTGGAAAGGAGAAACGAGGGATGGAGATACATGTACCCACTAATAGGCACTGAGCACATATTGACACAAGGTGTAATCAATCTGGAAGCTAAAAAGAGCTGAACCAGCATGGGTCAGTCAGCCAAAACCTACAAAACCTCTCAGGGAGGTTTAAATGAGCCCTGCCCACAGCTGGGAGCAGGTTTATCCCTGCCTCCAGCATTCCTCTCTGGGAAAGCACCGAATGAGATGCAATGGGAAAATAAAGAGGGTCAATAGCAAATCCCTTCCCAGTGTGGCTGTGGTACAGGGAGGGGCTGGACCTGTCTCCACCTTTAAAGGTCCTTGAGGCATCTCCTCTAGCTCTGTCTCCACCTCC